CATTCCTGCTTACCTTGATAAGCGTTAGAAGATGGCATGAATCTCTAAAATATTCTCCTATGAGCTTTAGTTCTTCCAAGCATTCAAAGCGTAAACCCATGATAAGAAAAAATGAGAAACTTAAAATACAACTATTCAAAAACCCTCCTTTTAAAACCCAACTCCTTCTTAACCCAACAATTAAACATTTTAATCCCAGTTATAAGACACTTCCCTCACTTAATAAAATAAATAAATCAATTAATTATAAAACCTTATAATATATCCATATACATACAAAATAATTAATACAATTATTAAAATTAGCCCAATTAATTATAAAAATTACAATAATAGTAATTAACAATATATATATATATATACATATATTAAATTCCATAAAATACATATTTCTCTAATAAATATTTTATAAAATAATTTTCACAAATTATTATTATTTAATTAAAACATTCATAAGTATTAAAAGTCTCAAAGATATTTTCTAAAACTTATTTAATTAATTAAAATAGTTATAAGAAAATACCCCCAATAAATATAAAAAATAAATAATAATTACATAATTATATTAGTAGAAAATTCTAAGTGTTACAGTAAAAGAGATAATGACATCAAAATTTGTGAGATTGTCCTCATAAAATACAGGATGTTGACATGCTCAGACACAAGTAGAAAGAATTTTTTAGGGTCATGAACTAATTACACTTTTGAATGTTTTTACCTTATATGTTTGTTAAGGTTCTCTAGAGGCAGCCCTCCATATCAATTAATTTTGCGTGGGCTCAAGTAAAACTAATTCCCACACCCTGGTTGCCTCACATTAACAAAAAATTGAGACGCTAAGGTCACCAAGTAACAACACAAATATGGAGAATTCAATTCATGGTGCAACCACATTATAACAAATCATGACTATCATGACATTTTTTCTGAGTTGTTCGTTACTTAGTTTGTAGCTAAAGAAAAAGCCACCATTAGTAACTGACATGTTTGGTGTACATCAATCATCATGAGAAACTTTGATATAGTTAAGCATTATAGTTCTAAATAAAAGTTAGTTGATCAAATATCAAGGCTGTTTGATATTTTCCCATTTTTATATTTCCAATATAACTATTACCTTATAATAAATGGCTAAGTCACTAATAAAATAACATTCAATTCATCCATTACATATACTATTTATCATTAAAAGTCTATGTAGAACAACATTTTCCTTTAGCATGATGAATGTTTTAAAGTATGAAACAACATTTACCCTCAACACAAGAAGCGTTTTAAGGTATGCAACAATGTTTTCCCTTAACATAAATGAGTGTTTTAAGGTCAACCGATTTAGTCCTTAGCATGATGAATGTTTTATGGTTCGCAACATTTTTTCTTAGCACAATGAGTGTTTAAAACTCGACCGACATAGCCCTTAGCACGAAAAGCATTTATGTTCTTCACCAATATTTTTCCTTAGCATGATGAGTGTTTTAAGGTTAAATCATTTTTCCTTAACATAATAGATCTTTTAAGGTTGACTGATTTAAACCTTTAACACATTGAATGTTTTAAGAATGATCGATTTAAGGATCAATGATAACTCATTATTGATATATATGGCTTATTGAATTCATGTTTTGTATTTCACTTGGTCATTTTCACAAACTAATTCATACCCCTTTCTTCTAATATTTGAAAATATAGTTTCAAAAGTACTTTCTAGAGTGGTATATATAATATTTTGAAAATTATTTTTCCAAAAGTTTGTTTAAAAGCATACTTTCAAAAGGTACTACCTAGAACAAAAAAAGTATAACTTTATTTTAAAGCATATTTTTAAAAATTACTTTGGGAAACAATATATTTATTATTCCATAATATATATATTATTCCAAAAATTACTTTTCAACAACATTTAAAAGAAATTCAATATATCATACCTTAGAAAATCAATGATAATTAGTATAACATCTTTAAAAAATCCACAAACTTTCTTATTTTTTTTACATGTATAATTATCAAAGATATTAATCTCCGTTGTGTCGTATTAAATAAATCATAATGACTTATTAAAGAAAAAAAATGTAATTTAACACATTAATTTGTAGTTTGCATTTAGTTTTTAGAATAATCAATATATAAAAAAAATAAGGTTTAAAGAATGATGAAGTTGAGAGCACAAAAATAGGATTTAAATAATAATAAAAATGAAATGCGAGAGTGTCTTAATTGGTAGAAATAATAAAAAAAAATCAATGAAAAGTAATTAGAGAGATAAAGTAGTAATAGAAAAAAGGTAGAGGAAGAAAAGGTGAACAAAAAAAGATGATTTTGAAAATATAAAATAAAATATTTAGAATTTAAAAAAAATAAGAAAGGAGGTATATTTATTGAAAAGGAAGTGTATATCACCTTTGCCTTTTATTTGTTACTTTACAAAAAGTCTCATGATATATACACCTATTTCTTTTTAATTTATAAATATACATTCTTTAGTTTTTTTTTATTTATTTATAAAATTCCTATAATATCTTTATTTTTTTTTAATTTTTAATTTTACACCTTCAACTTTTAATTTATTACTTTTATTTTTTACATACCTCCTTCCTTCTCCATTTCATTTTCACATGCACTTCTTTGTCTTTCCTAAATTCTTCACTTATTCTAGTAGATAGTTTTAGTTCTCTCAATTTTTGCCTTATTTTATTCTCCCCTTCTCTCTTTCACTTTTTCACATGCATTCAGACTATAAAACTAGTACGCAAAGAGTTAAATGCACATTTTTCCTCGATAATTTATGTCGAGTTAAATGCACATTTTTTCTTCTTCCAATACTTCCTCCCTTTCGCACCTCCAAAAATCTTAATAATGTGTTTGGACGAGGAATTTAAATGGAGTAATTCATTTGTTTGAATAATTTCAAATTTCTTGAGATGAAATACCTTGTTTAGATGGAGAATTTATAAAGAATTTAAAATTCAAGTATTTGTGAAATTCCTTGAAATAGTAGAATTTCAAATTCTTATAAAAAAGTAAGAATTTGAAATTTCTCTATTTTTTTTCTTCTTATTTCACTTACATATTTTATCTTATCTCTTATTTCTTCATGTTTTTAATTATTGAATATTTAAAATAATTTTAAAATTATTAAATATTATTTAATATTATTTTTTAAAATTATTAAATATTTAAAAATTAGCTATTATTTATTTTTATAAATTTTAATTTAAAAATATCAACATATAAATATATTTTTAAAATCAATTTTACCATGGTGGAATCAAATTATCATATCTAACCTAACAATTTAATTTTTTTAAAAAAATTGAATTGACTTATCCAAATAAAATATTTTAAGAATGATAGAAATTAAAATAAAAATAATTCAAATACCAAAATTTTAAAATTCCTTGAATTTGTAAAATTCTTCATCCAAACACACCATAAGATTAAATTTAGAGTGATGGAAAAGACATTCCATAACACGAATTTCACTATTATAAAGTACTTTTTGGGATAGTAAAATTAGTGTTCCTGAAAGTGTTTTTTAGAATTGTGTGTTTTTTTTACATATTTCTATAAAGTACTTTTCAGAACACTAAATTTATTATTCTAAAAAAATCTTTATAGAATTTTGCAAAATAAAACTTTTTCGAAAAGTACTTCTGAAATAGTAAAATTAATGTTCTTGAATGTACTTTCCGAAAGTATATTATTTTACATAATTTCAAAATATTTTTCGAAACAGTAAATTTAGTGATTGAAAAGTACTTTTCAAAAATATGTTAAAAACACAATTTCGAGAAATGAAATTTTACTTTTCTAAGAAGTACTTTTTGGAATAATAAAATTATTTAATATGGTATTTTCTAGAGGTGTAAATGAGAGAAGTGATTGAAGAGAAATACACATTTGACTCGACACTTTCGATATTGTTGACGAAGCTAAACATGCTTATAATGCTGTTGAAAACTAATTCTATGTCCCAGATGCCGGTGAAAATTAAAAGAAGGGATAAGAGAATAATAATGCAAAAATTGAAAGAAAAGGAGAAAAGAAAGTAATGTAAAACCCAAAGAAATTAAAATTACTTATTGAAATAGATAAGAAGTGAGAGAAACGTAAAAAGTGTATGTGAAAACTGAAAAGAGAAAAGAATGAGATGTGTGAAAAAAAATGCTAAATTAAATATTGGGGTGTTAAATTAAAAAAATTAAGAATATTTAAAAAATTTAATATTGTTTTTAAAAAAAAAGATATACTTATTAAAAAAAATCTATATATGATGACCTTACCAAAAATTGAGAGTGAGCCCAATTTCAAACGAGGCACTGGTTCTATTCTTAGCTTCATTTGGTCCCAATAAGCCCAGTAACAGCCCAAACACTAAAGTATTCCTTTCTCCAACCCAACTCTTCCTTCTTCAAAACCCTATTTTCCCTTGAGTTGAGCCAAAACCCTAAACCCCCAAACACTGTCTTGGCCACCATTATTGGAGCATTCTCTGATTACCAAACAATGAGGCCCCCGAGAGGCGCAGGACGCGGTGGTGGTTTTAGAGGTGGCCGCGACGGTGGCGGTTTCAGAGGTGGTCGCGACGGTGGAGGCCGCGGCAGAGGTGGTTTTGGTCGTGGCGGTGGAGGACGCGGCGGCGGATTTCGCGATGAAGGGCCACCCTCCGAAGTCGTAGGTGTGTGTCCTTTTTTATTTTGGAATTTAAGTAAACTTTCAAAGCTTTTGTTGGGTATTTCAGGAACAGTGTTGGAAGATTAAAAACTCATGCTTTGTGGTGTTTGTTGCTAATGACATGATATAGTTTGGGAGAAAAAAACAGATTTTATTTAAATTTGGTTGAATATTTTTTGTTTTGTTTTTTCTTATAGAGGTGTGTGTTTTAATGGGGTTTGTTGGTTTGGTGTTTGCAGAGGTGTCGCAGTTTCTGCATGCGTGTGAGGGAGATGCTGTAACGAAGCTTACGAATGAGAAAGTTCCCTTTTTCAATGCTCCCATATATCTGAAAAACATGACTCAGATTGGGAAAGTTGATGAAATATTTGGCCCCATCAATGAAGCTGTGGGTTTCTCTCACTCTGTGTTTTAGCATGTTGATTGCTTTTAGTTTTATGGTTTGTTATGGAACTATGTTGTGATGTGATTTGGTGTTTCTTTTATGAACCTGCAGTACTTCTCAATTAAAATGATGGAAGGGATTGTTGCTACCTCTTATGCAGCCGAAGACAAGTTTTATATTGACCCAAGGAAACTGTTGCCTCTTGCAAGATTTCTTCCACAACCCAAGTATGGACTCTTTGCTTCTCATTGCAAAAAATTGACCTGTCTAAGTATTATGCAATTAGTTTGCTCACAAAAGTAGTCGGTGAAGATAGATATGGATTAATGGCTTATTAATTTTTTTTATTTATATTTGTGTTTCTGAATGTCCATGTATATTTTTTTATTTTTCATGTCCATGCTTGCTTTTTTGGTTAATCTTTAAAACTCAACTCTCAGTTGATGGCTACATTGCTCTATTACATGTCCAATCATGTATGCTATCCATGCCACATTATTGATTTAACTTAATCAAGAACGAGTAAATTGTTTAATATGCTGTTATGGTTTGTGTTTGTTGTGCATGCCTTAATGATGTTTGTGTGTACTTATGTTTGCAGTATGCAAGGTGTTTTTTTTTGCTATCGTTATGCTTCTATTATACTTAGAACAATGGTTGCTAAGGTAGTCACATTGTTGAAGGGAAATATTTTAGTTTTGTTGTAGTCTCTTATGATATATTCTGTTAAAAGGATTCTTAAGACTGTTGTTAGAGCCTTGAAAGTTTGAATTATAAACCAGTTTATATTAAAGTGATTCATATGTGAATTATTGCATAGTTGGCTCTTGTTGACAAAAATTAAACAAAATGTTTCTTTTGACATAGGGTTTTAGTTTGGTGGTTCCTTAAAGCTTAAAACAGAGTTCCTTTTTTACTTTTAAATCCTGGAAGGCAAGGCAAAACTTAACTGATAAATGATCAAAGCTGAAATTTAGTTATTGATCTTTTCTCTGTACCTAGATATAAATTTAGTTCTTGATCTTTTCTCTGTACCTGTATATATTATACATGCAGCTGGCACTATCCCTAAATGTATTTTCTATGTTTCAATTTGTTTGCTTTTGGTGGCATTGAATTGTATTAAAATTGTTGGGAGTCATTCCAGTTAACCTGATTGGCTGATTCTTGTTGCAGGGGACAATCACAAGGTGGTAGAGGCGGAGGTGGAGGAGGTCGTGGTGGCCGTGGAGGTGGTGGCCGTGGAGGTGGTGGTTTTCGTGGAAGGGGTGGCCCAAGGGGTGGTAGAGGTGGTCCTCCTCGGGGTGGTGGCCGCGGTGGTGGTTTCAGGGGAAGGGGGAGATCATAGGGGAATTTAATGTAATGTTTTTCATATTTATGCAGTTATTTTCTTTGGAGATAACATAGATGTTGAATACTATTTCTTGTGGATTGAGTGATTCCGATGCATGTTGGTTGATTATATTATCATTATGGCAAGGTGGATTGAGTTGTGCAGTGTCTCTAAATCAACGCTTGATTAAGAATCTATTAAAATCGGTATTTTGGTTATATGAAGAGTATGATATTACTTTCAGAAGAAATAGCCAAAAAAATTTCTAGATGCTTAAAAAGTTGACACTTGTCAATTAACATATTTAACTTTTTAAAATTTTAAAAGATTGGAGGATACAGCATTTTCCTTATATGAATCAATTAAAGTCTGTTTGAATCAATTAAATTCTATGGAAATTGGATGTTATTTGCGTGTATAACCAGGGTGTCTTTGGAGATGAGATTCATTGTTTTAGAATTTAGATAGTACAATCATATAATTATACTGATTTACAGGATTATTATTATTTTTATTTGACCTCTACTTTAAAGGGGAGAAATTAATCTCAAGGAATCGAAGGGCGCTAAAGCTGTGACACAAAAATGCCAGTGTTATTTTTGATGGATAAAAAAAAGAATGTCAGTATTATCATATGGTCACTCTAGGTTTCCCTTTTTATAAATAATTTTTTACTCGGGAAGGATTAGTGTCAAATCACGTTTCAAAATAAGGGTCTGTCCAAATCATATTTGTTTTTCACTAGGCGGATTTAATATTGAATCTGACAATTCTAGCTTCAAATATCAACAAATTACATCTCATGTCAAAATTATGACTATTATTTAATGTTGTATTTGGGATTACTAGCCTGTTTGGATTTCGGAAACTACTGAAAATTAGGAAACCTCAAAATATCACGTTTCGCGTTTGAAAATTATAACTATTGATGTTTTGATGAACATGACAATTAATTAAAAATTAAAAATAAATATCTATAATACGGAACTAAATACCAAGTTCTACGAGTCCCAACATTGACGAAGCATTTATCTGTGCTCAAATTTGGTTGAAACTAATGCTAGTGGTAAAACATATGATTCAATGGAATTGTGTTTGTATAACATTTCTCTACTTCAATTGAATGTTTAATTAATGATATATGTGTATACTTATGTATTGCTTTTGGAAGTATTTTTTAATCAATAATATGATTTCCTCTCCACATGGTTTTTCTAATCACTTTGTTGTTTTGACCTATATTATAAATTTTGTAATAATCTCTTATAGAACTTTACTGTCTATTGTTATACATTAATATATAATAATTATTGTTAAGAATATATATATGAGGAGGGTTCAAACGACACCGGTGTAATTTTTACTAAGTATTACACCGCTTAATAACTTTATATTAAATGTGAATTTTGAAAATCTATCCGTTAGATTGAAAGTTCATATATCTCAAATTATATATGTCAAATTTTGTTAAAATTAAATAACAACTTGAAGGTAATCAAAGTGTTCATATTTTAGTATATTTTGAAATGTATATATTACGTCAATTTTGTTTTATGAGAATGAAATATCAAATCATCTTAGATTAATATAAAATTTGATATATATGATCTAAGAGATATGAACTTTCAATCTAACGGCTGAATTTTCAAAATTCATATTTAATATAAAGTTATTGAGCGGTGTAACACTTAGTAAAAGTTACA